CCCCCCTGTTTTTCCGATCCCAAACAGCCCCCCCCTCAGACCTTTGCCGCCGCTTGCTGCGCTATGCTGGACCTCGAGTTTGGCATGGGTTCCCTTGACTCAGTCCTCGAACTGATGACAGGAAGAGTTTATATCTCACATCGATGAGATATATAACTGTTTTTGGTTCTTGTTTCCTCTGAGAAACAAGAATTTGTTTGAGATCCTACTCTTGTTGTGCAGCAGAGGTGCTGCCAAAATTTTTACTGCACACAACAAGGGTCGGAAGAGAAGGTGAACAGGTGGTGGGTCTGAAGCCTATTCGATGGAGGAGATCATCAAGAAGTTGAACCCTGCGGAGGTGTCAACTTTGATGAAGCTAATGAAGTTGTCGGCTAGTGAGAGCGCGACAAAACCATCGAAGAAGTTGGAGCTTTCGACCATCGATCTGAAACTGGATGGACCTAGTACGTACCTGAGCTGGTCACGGCGGGTGAGATATACCCTTGTAGGGAGGAATCTGGAGGGTTATTTGACAGGAGAGGTGACAGAGCCGGAGGAGGACTCAGAGGGAAGAGATGAGTGGAAGTCCACTCATATGTGACAGAGCCGGAGGAGGACTCAGAGGGAAGAGATGAGTGGAAGTCCACTCATATGTTGGTGTACATCTAGCTTCTCAATTCGTTGGTCCCGACGATCGCCGCCACGGTGGATGGCATTGAGAAGGTGAAGGACGTCTGGGAGAAGTTGAGGAGGACATATGATGGAGTGGGGAATAACCTGAGGGTATTCCAGATTAAAGGAGAGATCGACGCCATAGTCTGCTAAATCACGAAACTCATCAAGAGTTATCAATCAGACAAGACTGTTGTTCCAGTGAGTATAGATATTCGGATCGTCAACGAGAAGCAAACTCGACGCAAGCATTCGAGGGAGGCATCTCATCGCTACCGTGAAGAACCCAGAATTAAACAAAGGGGAGAATTCAGATCATTCTCTTCTCTTTTGTAATTGGAAATCCAATTGTAACTGAGATTAAAGGAATACAAGTCAATTTTCTTTTATTTCTTTTACTGCAAATTTTTCCACAAACAGGGGTCAACGAGGTGGAAGAGGAGCAGGAAATCGGGCGAATCTGACGGTAGCAGAAGAAGAAGAAGCTGAGGTGGTCTTTACAGAGGAGGATCGTGCTCTTCTCACAATACTCAGGAAAAAACAGCAAATAGCAGGGGATGGAGATTTGAGGAGTGGGACTGCGGAGGCATCCACTTCGTTCTTCGCCAGAGGCAACACTGCTACCTATGGTCATCCGACCAAAGGTACTAATGACATACATGCTCTTGCTTCTATGTCTCCCGACAGATCATCAGAGTGGATAGTCGACTCCGGTACGTCTCGTCATGTGACAAGTAATGCTAGTGAGTTCTCATCATATACTCACTTAGCATCGCCTGATAGTATTCAAACAGCTGATGGTACATTTTAGCCGGTGGTTGGTAAGGGTACAGTAGATTGTACTGGTTCTGTAACTTTGTCCAATGTTTTGCATGCTCCTTCCTTTCCAGTCAATCTTTTGTCCATTAGTTCAATCATTCTCCAACTAAAATGCATTGTTTCTTTCGATATTCCTAAGGTGATTTTCCAGGAGAAGGGGACAGGTCGGAGACTTGGGACTGGCACATGGCGTAGTAGACTGTGGTATCTGGATCGTGAAGGGCTGGATTCAGCATTGGTGTCAGTCATAGAGGAAGCAGGAGTAGGGTATAAAATGAGTGCTGAAAATGAGTTAATGCTTCATCACCAGCGTTTGGGACACTCATCCTTTAGTGTTTTAGGTAGATTGTATCCTTCTTTATTTGAGAAAGAAAATAAACAGAAACTTGTGTGTGATGCATGTGAGTTTGGAAAGCTTACTAGAAGCTCTTATGTTAGTTCTGGTCATAGAAGTTCTTATGCTTTTGACTTGATACATTCAGATGTTTGGGGGCCTTGTTCCACAAGTTCTATGAATGGATACAAGTATTTTGTTATATTTATTGATTGCTTCTCTCGTGTTACTTGGTTATACCTGATGAAGAATAAGAGTGATGTGCTTGGGTGCTTCCAAAATTTTCATAGGACTGTTCAGACTCAATACGGAGTAGTGGTGAAAGTATTGAGGTTAGATAATGGGACAGAATATACCAACAGAGCCTTTGAAGAATATTTGTCAGCTCAAGGAATACATCACCAGACAACCTGTCCATACACACCAGCTCAGAATGGGGTAGCGGAAAGGAAGAACAGACATCTTTTAGAGGTTACTAGAAGCATGATGATCTCTATGAATGTCCCAGAAACATTATGGGGGCAAGCAGTATTGACCGCAGCAGCATTGATCAACAGAATGCCCTCGAGAGTGTTGGATTGGAAGTCTCCGTGTGAGATATTAAAGGGAGATAATGGTGGGATCCTTCCACTCAAAGTGTTTGGCTGTGTGTGCTTTGTGAAGGACAACAGGCCATCTGTCGGGAAGCTTGCCCCTAGAGCTGTGAAGTGCATCTTTGTGGGATATTCTGCTACTCAGAAGGGATATGTTTGCTGGAGCCCGGTGGAGAAAAGATTGTTTGTGAGCATGGATGTGCACTTTCGAGAACTCGAGCCATATTACACCCATAAGGTAACTTCAACCACTGGTAACTCGCCCAATACTAGAAGTATGAGGCGAGAGGAGGAGAATGGTGAGAGAACGGTGAACAATGTGGAGAAATCCATTTCTGTATCGATTCCTTGGGAAGGAGAATTGGTTGAGGAGGAGCAAGAGAATGACGAAGAAAAGGAAAATGAGACAAGAGGTGTTAGGCCCACTGTTCAAGGGGAGCTACTAACTTATAGTAGGAAGGGTAAGCAAATTGCAGGAACAGTACCTACAGTGCCACTAGTGCTGCCAAGTGTCTTGCCAACGCCCACCCCGTCTCCTGAAACACCTACACCACCACCAGTTTCATCCCAAGGTGATAACATTCCTCTTCCTACTGATAACATTCCTCTCTCTACTCCTCCCACACCAATATCAGTACGGGGGACTACTCGTATTAATGCGGGAAATCCTCCCGATAGATATGGTTGGGATATTGCCCAATTTGTATCATATTCTAACATCCACCCTGCACATGGGGCATTCATTGCATCATTGGACTCTGTTACTGTACCTAACAATTGGCAGGTTGCTAAGAAGGACCCAAAGTGGAAAGCGGCTATGCACGAGGAGCT